TTGTTTATAGGAGCAGGGAAGGCTCGTTGCTCTCTTGCCGTGGGTTCCGGCTCTTTTCGGACCGACTGATTGGAGGCAGGGATGGTGGAGGTCTAAGCACCACACTGAATCCGGGACTCAGGTGTGGGGGCTTGGAGTCCAAGTTTGGACGGGGACCTCGACCTCTTGACAGGAGAGTGATGCGTTGGTCCTACCTGTGCCTGGGATACAAGCGGGGCGTGTGTTTTGGGATACCCAGCTGGGCACATTGATTCGCGTATCACCGGGTAATCCAGTACGACTTGTTTACAATCTAGCACCGTAGTAAGAACTGGAAGATGAAAGATGGTGAAATGGATTTGTTTGTTCAACTCTTGCTTGAAAGTAGAACAATGCTTACATAGAATGGTTAGATAATGAACTAATCATGATTGCTAATAAGAAACATACATAAGGATTCACTACTAGTATTGCTTTCCGCAAAAAAGAAAACCCAGCAAACCATAAAGTTTATCATATTCTTTGGAGCCGGGAAGTTATTCCCACTAGTCGGGTAAGTCTTACGAGTACATTGTGTACTCAGTGTTTATTTACCCCTATTGCAGGTGCAGTTTGAAGAGTAGCTATTGTGTGGATGATTCTTCTGGTGGGCACAGACGAATCCTTGTATTCTACCGTTAGATGTTTATTTCCACACTCTGAACTTAGTATTGTAATAATGTATATATTTCTGAGAACTCTTGTTGTATGAAATTGACTAAGTGTTGTAAACTCGTTCTCATTATTGGATCCTGAAGGAAAAACGTGGATTATTCGAGTTCTCCCTTGTGGTGTGCTCGACGGAAATCATCCGTTGTAGCTAGCTCTCGAGGAGCTTAGTGTCTGGTGGAAGACAAACGTCTCCGGAAGCGTGCTATTTCGGACGGTTCTGCCACAGCAGCCTCCATGCCTGTCTAGCCAACATGGCCAAATTGAAGAGATGCAAGCCTCTGAACCCCAAACCCCCTTTCTTCTTTGAACGTGTCAATTTTTCCCAGCTGAGCCAGCGAATTTTATGTTTCTTATCTTGCTGGCTCCACCAATACCTGCACACCATTGCACTTACCTCATCACACAAGGTCTTGGTTATGTCAAAACAGGACATGGCGTAAGTGGGATTAGCCTGGGCCACCACCTTAACCAGAATTTCTTTACCGGCCTTAGAGAGCATTTTTTCATGCCAGCCATGAACCCGACACCAGATTTTCTGCTTGATATATGCGAAAGTCTTCTTTTTTGAGATCCCAATGGAGACTGGCAACCCCAAGTATCTTTCCCCCCACTTCTCTTGAGAAATTGATAGGGTAGCTTTCATTTGCTCTCTCACTGTCCTTGCTGTGTTTGGACTAAAAAGGATGGAAGATTTTTCTTTGTTGATCACTTGACTAGACACCCTCTCATATACCCCCAATACTCTCTTAAGCTCAGCTGCTTCCTCATTTCGCGCTCGCATCAAAATCACAGAATCGTCTACGAAAAAAAGATGGTTGACACTTGGCGCCTTCCGGCATACCTTGATGCCCACATTTTTCCCGTCACTCTCGGCCTTCCTCAGCATAGCGGACAGCCCCTCAGCACAAATGATGAAGAGGTATGGGGAGAGAGGATCCCCTTGTCGAAGCCCCCGCTGCGGTATGATTGTGTCAGTATACTCCCCGTTCACCTTGATACGGTAATTCACCGTTGAAACACATCTCATCACCAAATCAGCCCACTGCTGTCTGAACCCCATCTTGATCATCATACTGTACAGAAATCCCCATTCAACTCGGTCATAGGCCTTGCTCATGTCTAATTTAATTGCTGCCACCCCATTCGATCCGCTTCTTTTGTTTTTGAGATAGTGTGTTAGCTCATACGCTAATAGGACATTGTCAGTAATTAGTCTCCCAGGAACAAAGGAGCTTTGAGAGGGTGAGATGACCTCTGGAAGCACTACTTTCAACCGGTTGGCAATTACTTTGGATATAATCTTCTACAGCACTGTACACAAGCTGATTGGCCGAAGATCTTTGATTTTCTGTGGTTTGTCAGTCTTGGGAATAAGGACTATTATTGTATCATTCCACCCCGGTGGCATCTCCCCTCCATTCAAAACATTCAGCACATCAGTTCTCACCCGCCCTGCAATTAGGCTCCAAAATCGCTTGTAAAAAATGGCTGGAAAGCCATCCCCACCAGGGGATTTGAGATCTCCAATGCTCTCCAATGCTCTCCAAAGCCTTCCAAACTTCCTCTTCTGAATATGGAGCTAGCAGTATTTCATTCATCTCCCTAGTAACGCACTGCTCCACACAGTCAGTCACCTCATCAACATCTCCTCCTGCTTGTGTGAAAAATAAAGCTTGGTACTAGTTAGCAATATATGTTTTCAGACCATCTCCCTGTACCACTCCTCCCCCATCCTCCACCAGGCGCTTAATTCTATTCTTCCTCTTTCTCTCCGATGCAAAGGCATGGAAAAATCTAGTGTTTCGGTCACCATTCAGCAGCCATAAATTATGAGCACGTTGCTTCCAGTACACATGCAATTCATCCTCCAATCTTTCTAACTTGAAGCACAGCACATGCTCCCAGTTTACATTATCCTGGGATATTCCCCTTCTCATGCATCTGTCTAGCTCCCTCCTAGCGTTCTTCACCCTTTTCTCCAACTCCCCCAAAACTGACCGGTCCCACTCCCACAATTTTCCCGGTACCCGACTTTGCAACTCCAAAAAAGTGGTGGTACCTTCCAGCAGGGCCGAACCCCAAGCCTCCTCCACTTTAGTTGCGCAGTCCTCCTCCTCCAGCCACCAGGACTTCAAAATTCCTCAGGACTCCCCGTGACCCCTCCCATCTCCGTAATTCCCTCTCCCCCACCTCCACAATCACGGGCCTATGGTCTGAGTGCCGTGGGTCACCATTGTCACCATTAATAACACGGACAAGAGGAAATTTGCATCTCCAGGCCGTGTTAGCCAGAGCACAGTCCAGGCGCTCTCTTGTGTAACTCCCCGCATTGTGATGGTTATTGCGCCATGTGAACAGATCCCCCACACAGCCAAGATCATGCAGGTCACAATCCTCTAGCGCCAACCTGAATTTCTCCATTGCTGCCTCCGCCCTCACCCCCCCTCTCTCATGAGCAAAAAGGACCTCATTAAAATCACCTGCACACACCCAAGGTAAGGACATGCGTCCATGTAAGGTCCGGAGAGTCTCCCACGTTCTCTCCTTCTCCTCACTCCATGATTCCCCATACATCCCAGAAAACCTCCACTCAAAACCGTCTTCCTCTTTTATTACCATGTCTATATGGTACTTAGACATGCTCTTGACCGTGAGATCAAGCTCCTTCTTCCAAAAAAAACAGCGAGATCACCACTCGCCCCTACGCTGTCCATCGCCCACCATGTTAGTCAAACCCAACCTCCACCATGCTAAGCGAGCTGCAGACACAGATCGATGGAGGAGCATCCCATGTTACATTGCACGGGCTCCTCTCCCTCCCTCCTGTACGGCCTGGCCTTGTTAGTTGATGCATAAGTCCTTCCCCGCCCTGATGGAATCTAAGATTTATCATCCGGCCATCACCAGGAGCTGCTGTACGTGTACTGTACGACTGTTAGAACAGAATCGATTGGACAGTACTAGCTAACTATCCTAATCAGATCAGCTGCTGGTTACGTTAGTTGTTCACGGATCAATCGGAGGCAGCATGAGGCTACAGTATGTAGCAGCACAGCAGGGAAGTCTACAAATACCCACCCAAAATTTCAAAGCCTGGGAGCTGCTACATATACAACAAAGCCGCTGTATTATGTAGTGACGGACCCAATGCAAGATTAAGCAGTACATGAAATAAAAACACTAAGCTACTATCCGTACAATAATAATACAGCATGCATGTATGCAGTTCCTTTGCTTGATTCCACACATAACCTTACTGCTGCCTCTAGTGTTCTCTGATCGATGATGAATTGAAGCCGGCCTTCATTCGGATTCGGTGCTAGTACACCCCATCATGTATATGCTCGGTCGTTGCATGCATGCAGTTCCTTTTAATTTCGCCCCCTCTATATATCTCTCCGTCAGAATTAATTAATGAAACAAGCAGAATAATACTACTGGCAGAAATTAGTTAAAGCTCGCTAACTAGTACAGTACAGCAGGAAGGAATAATCTGTTAATCGATGTGTTTTGTTGCGATGGTTGTTGACCTGCCTGTTTATTTTATTTATATGCATGTAGGCATCTTTTTCCACAGCTGCTCCTCGTCTTCTTTAGCTCTGCATCATCATCTGCATCCATCCATCGGCCGGTCGGCGCCGCGGGCCGGGTGGGGCCACTTGTCCACTACTGATAACCAGCCAGCCCAAGCCCAGCATCCTTCGAAGGATATATTCTCTCCTTCTCCCACGCTATAAAGACGTTGGATGGTGTATAGCTATATAGTATGCATGTCACACACACACACACCGAGTACATATATACACATGATATATAATGTATATATTATGTGAGTCAGTCAATCAATCAGCTGATAACCTACCCGGCCGATTTAATTTATTTGCTTCGTTCCATGGTTGGAATACATGGATTATCTTCCCCTCTCTGTGTGCATATACATCCCCCTTCTAGTAGCTACAAATAAAACGTCCCTTTCTCCACCTATCCCTTTCATCTTTCTTTCCTTGTGCCCATTGGATACGACTGCCCTCCTCGACTTTCCTTCCTTCAAAAACCCTGCTCGTGAGGCCATGTCAGGTCAGAAATAGAGACGCGTGCACTGCGGTGCGGGTGCGGGTCCGTTTGTGGGCTTCTCTTGTGGCTATACCAAGCAATCAGATCACCTTGACCTTTGCACCTCGCCATCGACTATAACAATTCGTAGCTAGGATCGGAGTAGCTAGCTTAGCTAGTCCAATCGATCGATTGCCAATTTGCCCTGCTCCTGTTCCACCAATTCTTTTCTGCGTGTCCCTCCTCCGGTGTCCACCATGGCGTCTAGCCGCTGGCAGCGGCAGCAGCCTCGTCTGGTTCGGGTCGTCGTGACGGCGGCGCTGATGATCATGGCCATGGCGACGACAGCAGCGGCGCTGGAGGACGACGACGTCGGCTACGACGCCGGCAGCGTGGGGTTCGACGAGGGGTTCTCGCCGCTGTTCGGGGAGGCCAACATGGAGCGGTCCGCCGACGGGCGCGGCGTCCGGCTGACGCTGAACCGCTACTCCGGCTCCGGGTTCATCTCCAAGCACTACTACCACCACGGCTTCTTCAGCGCCGACGTCACCCTGCCCAAGGACCACACCGCCGGAGTCGTCGTCGCCTTCTATGTACGTTAGTCGTCCATCCAGAGTTTTTTTTTTACTAGCACTGTATTTTCTTCTTCTTCTTCTTCTGCTTGCAAAATTAAAATTGCAGTGTTATATTAATTCATCGGTCAATCAGTTATTCCTCCTTTTACGCATCCCATCATCACCGATTTCGTTGCACTAAATTTCTTGCCGATTTCTTGCGTTGCATCGGAGACCAAGTGCATGCTTGCAGCATCGTTTTCCTTTTCATTCTTCATTATAGTTTTCTTAAAATAAAGAATAAATAGAAAGAGTAATTTTCGTTCCTTAGATTATCCATCCATCGTTAATTAAGTAATCAATTTGTCCCATCGACTGCTTTCATGCTATCAAGGACACACTGACAGAGCAGAGGAGAGGCCATAGTGGGTAGCAGCAAGCAGCTAGCTACCGTTTCATTTGTCTGCATGCCACTTTGCCTGCTTTGTGCTGTCTGGTCCGTGCACCAGAACAGAGGTTGTTCCTTCGTCGTCGTTAGTTGCAACGTCCACATGCCTTTGCCTCCATCTCGTCCTCCTCACCATGGCGTACGGCGCTCTACCTGCCTGCCTGCTGCACTCAATGCGCCGTATGCAATGCATGCATGGGGACTGACTGAATGAATGGGTAGCTTCAGTTTCAGTAATAAATTGCACCGAACCAAACTGAAACTGTATGTTTCCACCAAGATTACTAGCATCTATCTATCTATCATACAGTACTCGTAGCTAATTAATCTCTGCATTTGTCGTATCATACTAACTATAAGCATATACGCATGCAATGCGATGCGATGCAGTTGTCCAACGGCGACGTGTTCGACAAGACGCACGACGAGCTGGACTTCGAGTTCCTCGGCAACCGGCGGCGCCACGAGTGGCGTCTGCAGACCAACGTGTACGGCAACGGCAGCACGGACCGCGGCCGCGAGGAGCGGTACCTGATGCCCTTCGACCCGACGGCGGCGGCGCACCGCTTCTCCATCCTCTGGTCCTCCCGCGCCGTCATCTTCTATGTGGACGGCGTGGCCATCCGCGAGGTGCCCCGGTCGGCCGCCATGGCCGGGGACTACCCGTCCAAGCCCATGGCCGTGTACGCCACCATCTGGGACGGATCCACCTGGGCCACCGACAACGGCCGGTACAAGGTGAACTACCGCCGCGGCCCCTTCACGGCCGAGTTCTCGGGACTGGTGATCCGCGGCTGCCCCGCCGCGGACACCGCCGACGGCAACGGCCAGGGACAGAGCGGAAGTGACCACGTGGCGATGCTGCTGGGGGCCGCTGACCGCGACCGGGACGCCTGCGCCGGCGCCGAGTTCGAGCTCATGACGGCGGGCTACGCCATCATGACGCCGCGGAAGCGGTCGGAGATGCGGCGGTGGCGCCGGCGCCAGATGCTATACACGGTGTGCTACGACACCAACCGGTACCCGGCGCCGTTCCCCGAGTGCGACGTGAACGTGGCGGAGCGCCAGATGTTCTGGGAGTGGGGCGAGTCCAAGGTCGTCCGCCCCCGCGTCCGCGGCCGCTCCGGGGGCAAGCGCCGCCAGCAGGTCGCGGCCGGGACCACTGCGAGTGCGACGACGCCGGCGCCGCGGCTGGTGTCACTGCAGCAGGCCGACTGATTGATTATTGGGTTGATTTGATTGGCAGCAGAGCAGGTTGATGGCATGGGAGATTGCATTGCCCTGCTCCAGCTCCACTGACCTGTGCTCAACTATTGCTCATGCGCATATACTCCTTTATACTCCGTATATGGATGGATGATTGTTTGATTATTCTGAAAATAGACGTACGCATCATGTACAGTCATAGTGTCGTGCACACTCACGGTTGCTTGAAAACTTGCGCATGCATGCCTATGGTATGAATGGATGATCGATCCATCGGTGCATGCCTATGCACATTGTGCCGTCACTGCGTTGACATTGCCAAACAAACCTGTAGAAGCAGGGATAGTGTACTTTACGTCTGAGGCTGAGGTTATCGCTATAGATGGCCATACAGCCCGTGGCCCAACACGAAGCCCGCTATTTTGGTCTGGTCTGAGCACGGCATGACCCGGTAAACAATGGGCCCATACCGGCCAGGCCCGATCCACCGTGCCAAGCTTGGGCTCCTCCCTAGGCACCTCGGGAGGCACAACACGACCTCTCTAGACCCGATAAAGGCCCGCTATCAAGTCAGAAAAGGTAGAAAAATTCTTGAATAAATAAGAATTCGCAGACACATAGTTGAATTCCCTCGGAAAAAAATAAGTGTTAAAAATATGAAACGATGTCAAGTAACTAAATTTCTCGCTGCAGCGTGACCAACCAAAATAGCAAATGATCCTGGGCCTCGGAGATCTCGGAGAGGAGGAGGCTGAGGGTTCTCCCTACCTCGCGTAGTTGGTCCGCCCCACACCTCGCCCCCGGGGCTAGTTAAGTGCTTGTTGGATCCACTTCTTTTAGAGCCCTAAAAACTTTTGAGCACTTTAGCTTGATTTTAAGTTCTAAAGTTTTAACATGAGATGAGCTAAAGTATAGAGCTAATTTTCTAGACTTTAACTCTAAAGTTTGAAGGTCTGAAATTTAGAGGATGGATAAAAAAGCCGCTAAAACAGGCAAGATGTCATCGCCTTCGCATACCGGAGGTGGAAATAACCGCATCCAGCGAAGACGGAACAAGCCCCATGGCAAGGAGCGGATATGGGTCTTGGGACACAGGGCCGTCGTGGCCCAAAGTACTTCTTAATTAAGTTCTTGTACAGTACTACATGTGATTTTTTGGCCCAATCTGAGGTAACGCTGGTCTGCTGGGCCAAGTTCTTACCCCAACCGGTCCATACACAGAGGAGAAGAGAAAAGCAGGAGCTCCTCCTCGACTCGACACCTGACTCCGACTCCGCGAGTCAGCGTGCACCAGCGCCGCAGCCAATCGGACTGGGCGATTCACATCCCCGTCCGGCCGTTCCTCTTCCTGTCCGGCCAGTGCTGCTTAGCTAGCGGTGGCCGTAGGCGTGAAACTTCACCAGCTCCGCCACTGGCCATGGTCAACAACGGGCTTCCGAACCCTCCCTGCGCCGTCCTCACCGCCGACGCTGCGCGATCCCTAGTCGATTCCGTCGATGCCTTCCTCTTCGACTGCGATGGTATCTGATTCTTCACCTTTCTCCATTTTTGTTTGGGGTTTTTTTTTTCGCTCGAGATTTTTATCCCTGTTTCGCTCTGACCGTTTATTCTAGTTGCCTGTCTGAATTTGCCTTAGGGGTCATTTGGAAGGGAGACAAGCTCATAGAAGGGGTCCCAGAGACGATGGAGCTACTGAGGAAAATGGTATGCATTCAGGAACATCCCTTTTTTATTACATTACATTTTTTAATGTTTAATGACTAAGTGTTGAATTCGTTTCCTCATTTTGGGGCTAAGTCGATAGTTAGCCTAAAATAGAGTCACGGTCTTGTGCCTCTTATTAATTAGCAAACTCGGATCACATCAAGCTTTTGTTGAAGACAAATATGCATTATAGCTTGCGTTAATGCTAGGAGTGCTGCTAACAATTACTCATTAGCTGGTAGAGGGTTGCTAATAGGTGCTGATAGTTCATTTGCACCTTATTAGCATGAGGACACAAACATCCCCTGCTAATAATCAGTTAGCTAACTATTAGCACTAATGGATCAAAAGAGGGCCTAAGAAGAAAGAAGATAGCTTTTAATTACACCTGTGTGGGAAGCCTGATCTCTCCCATTTTAATAACAAGTGAATTCATGTTTCAATAGTTTAACTGTCAGGCAAAGAAATGCCAAATGATCAAGACAAGTACATAATTAAGGTCTTGCTTATTTTGTTGTGGCTTTTAAAAAGCTGGTTCTAGATTGTGGCTTTCAACTTTGAAGAATCTGATTCTCCAAAGTTGCAGCTATTTAAGCTGAAATAGACAGGCAGTAAGTGCAGCCACCAGGCATCAGATACCATAATGAAATGTCAATCATTGACACTAATACTGCACATCGCTTTAAAGTTATTCTGGTTCTGTTCATTGCACAAACAAGCTTATATCTCCTGCCTATGTACAAAGCTCCTATCTGAAACAAGGATAATAGGCTTATATCTTTTCTCTATGTCAATTCTGGCATGAGGAACATCACTTCATTAACCAAGCTGTGATCTTTTGTTGCCATTATTTAAGGCATTGCTCTAGTACTCAGTGGCTTAGTGGTTTATAAAAAGGTATATACAGATTATGAAACTTATTGATTAAGTAATAATGCTTGTATTGGCTTGGTGCAGGGAAAGAAATTAGTTTTTGTAACAAACAACTCTAGAAAGTCAAGAAGGCAATACTCCAAGAAATTCAGATCACTTGGACTTGAAGTTACTGAGGTAGTTTTTTGATTTGAGCAGACTCTTCCAGTAATTTTTTTTGTATTGTAATCATTTGTTACTTTGTTGTAGGAAGAGATTTTTACATCATCGTTTGCGGCTGCCATATACTTGAAGTTAAATAATTTTTCTCCAGAAAAGAAGGTATCATAAATTATTGTAATGTCCTTTCCTTTTGTTTTATGTGAATGACTAATGATTTCTTCGGCACATGATACTCACTGAAAGTATCATCATGAGGGAACAAATTAAGAAACTAGCACATATGTATGCGAGGAACTTGATAACACAACAGCCTACACATTTACAGTAAGATTGTCCACCCTGAACTAATGAGCAAGGGTTTGCAATAAGACTGGAACAGCCATGTGGAAACTATGTGGTTGGAAATTTTGCTAGAAGACCAACCAAAAGGCACTTATATGAGCCAATCGACCTTGCTTCACACACAGGAGTATTGTAGCATAGTTCGGATCCACTATTTCCTGTATACCTCACCTTATTTATCTTGCTGTTTTCTGGTGGCCGGTCTCTCAAGAAACTGTTTATTGGCTTAACCGATTTTTTTGGCATATATTCACATGGTTAAACATTGAGGCCCTGTTTGGATGCAAAGTATCTTGTAGTGTTGGACAAATATCACGGTTTTGCAAAATACGTTGGTTTTTTAAAGCTGTTGGCTGCAACAAACCTTCTAGATTCGAAAACATTGTGAAAACCATAGTGTTTTTGAAAAAAGTTTTAGAACTCCAATCAGGACCTTTTTTTTTTCTTCTAAACCACTGTATTTGCACACATTAGGATTAAGAAACTACAGTTTGTTGATACTATAGTTTCCTAAAACTGCGATATCCAGGCAGGCCTGAGACCTTTTGTGATTTATTAAAACATATTAAGGTAAACATTATTTTTCTTGGTACATTGAAGTCGCCCTTTTGGCTCCTTGATACTGTACATGATACATAACTTTGCCCCCCCTAATCTGTCCATTTAACATACTCTACTTAGTTTATGTTGGACGTGTTTGAGAATAAAGATTTTCCTTCTTAGTTTCACGCCCTTGTTTTCACAGATATAAACTGATTAGCAATTATACTTGAACTGCTTATTTTATTTAGGTTTATGTTGTTGGTGAAGATGGAATCTTGGAAGAGCTCAAGTTAGCTGGTTTTGAATGTTTTGGTGGTCCGGTAAGACAACTGTTTTCTTTTGAGGGGACGAAAACCATGTTAATTGTTCAAGATTTTCATGAATTCCTATATGTTGTCCTTTTTCTTAGAGTTCCTTTACTATAGTGTGAAGATGCTATGTGGTATATTGAATACTGGTTTGATATAGTTTTAACGGTGCATCCATGCTAATGGATCATTTTTTTTTCATTTCTGAACTTCCATATACATTGGCATATTCCAAATTATGTAACTTTCATAATCATAGTTCAACATAAAATAGAAACATAGTGGATCATTGTATGGGGTTTTACCTGGATGATTGGTAGTGCCTACTTCAAGACATTACATGTTACTTCAATGTAGTAGCCATTTTGGATGTCTGTCGTGCTATTTGAAATTAAATAGGCCAGAAATATGAAGGACATTATTATATCTACGTTTGGACAAACATGCAATAAGTGTCCTGAGTGAGCCACAACATACGAACAGTCAAAAGATATTTTTTATGCTTGATGAGGGCATGAAAACATAAATATTTTTCAGATAAGTTATCCCTGTTTTACCTTCCATTTCAACTAATGATTTTCCTGCAGGAGGATGGCAAGAAAAACATAAAGTTGGAGGCGGATTTCTACTTTGAACATGACAAAAGTGTAATGTCAAATCTGTTTTTTCTGATTTTTGTATCATCTTTCACATAAAATACAAAATCTACTGAGCTGTGATCTAAATGAAATTTCTTTTCCAGGTTGGAGCTGTCATTGTTGGACTTGATCAGTACTTCAATTATTACAAAATGCAGTTACTGCTCTAACCTTGCTGTCTATAGCCTTTGATGTTGCTCTCCATGCTGATCAATCATTACTTAACTTTTGTCATACGTGCATTCTTTCCGTTTCAATGCAAGTCTTGCTATATCTTCTGGTGTGATAAATTTAACCTGACACTCCTTTGATAGGATATAAGTTTAAGTTTCATCTCGCTTCTGGAAAATTGAAGAGATAAAACTACATTAAGGTCCATTAGATTGATCTTTCTTTTCACCATTTTTTTTCGGTATGTTGGATGCTCCACCCTTGCCTAGGCAATTGAAAGTTTGAGCTTCCTTTATCACATTATTTAGAACATCGTATATTACATATGATAAAGACTGAGCCCTCTCAGACATGCTTGTTGTGCATTCCTTTTTCATTTCCTTTTGTAACTCATGTCTCCTTTAAGCCAGTGGAGTAAGTTTCATTGCTTGCTCAGCGTTGGTACCTTTATGTTGTTCACCGTTGCTTAAAAAGTCTGTTGAAAGAATACCCTGTATTTAATTCAGATCTAAAATTCAGAAGCTTCTAATTTGAGATAATTCAGCGAAGCAATTATAAAGCTGAAGTCTTTTGTCCACCTTATTTTATGTTTTATAAAGACATATCACAGTTCCAGTTTTACACTTTTGTTCGCAAGGACCATGTTGCCACAATAAAAGTACTCCCTCTGTTTTTTTTTAAATGAAAAATGAACTAATTACCTTGTCCTAGAGTCATATGTTAAAAAATGGAGTAAGAATTTATTTGAGCATCAGCTTTCAACATTAGTTCTGACTGCAGCTCATCATTCTGTTTACCTTTTAGATCATTAGTTTCACAATGATCAAGTCATAGTGATGTTCTTGCAGGTATGCAAGAATATGTATTAGTGAGAATCCAGGCTGCCTTTTCATTGCGACCAACCGTGATCCAACTGGGCATATGACATCTGCCCAAGAATGGCCAGGTATTGTTATCGAGAAATTTATTGAAAATTTTGTAGTTTCAATCTGTAGCACAGTATAATTTGCAATTGCTTACCTCAACAGGAGCTGGAACTATGGTTGCTGCAGTAAGCTGCTCAGTACAGAAAGAACCCATTGTTGTTGGAAAACCTTCAGGCTTTTTGATGGACTTCCTCTTGAAAAGGTTTGCAAATTGTACTATGAGAAACATATCATTTATTTTCCATCAAAAGTGCATATTTTTATTCTCTGAGGGGGTATTAAGTCTCCTGACTGTGAATAAATAGGCAAAAAAACTGAAAGAGTTTTCCTGTTAGATAGTCTAACACATATACATCCATTTTTTTTTTTGTTTTGAGTCTTGTCTTATTGGCTTCTAAAATTTATTCATTATAACTAACTTTACAAGTACACATAGAAATGGAGACAAAATGAATAAGGAATATTATGTAGCTGGCTTGTAAAGTTCCCTTATACATATCCATCTTTCTATAAATGTTTTCCTGTTCAAAGACAGCAAGAAAATGTGCACAAGCATAAGATGATAGGACAGTGGATTGCATTCTTTGTTGATTTCCAATGCCACAGTATCAGAAAAGGTTTCGTTGCTGTTCAACTGCTGCAGCTTCAATCTGGAAACGTCAAGGATGTGCATGGTTGGCGATAGACTGGACACAGACATATTATTTGGCCAGAACACTGGTTGCAAGACCCTCCTTGTTTTGTCTGGTGAGAAGCTCCTGCTCTTATTCAATAATTATCCCAAACTGCTTTCACGTGTTCAAGGATGTCTCACATGCGTGGGATTGCAATTGCAGGTTGTACTACCTTATCAGAACTGCAGGATGCTTCTAATAACATCCATCCAGATCTCTACACGAACAGCGTGTATGATCTAGTTGGGTTACTGCAGAAGTAATCTCTTGGACGGCATTGCAGCGCAGAGCTCTGTTCTGACTATGTTACCGCAATCTCAGTACGCTTTGGATAGCGCCTATCAGGAATTATTACTGGGATAACTTACATGAAACAGTTGTGCGTGAAGCAACAAATCTTTCTTTGGGTACCTGTTTGACAATAACTAGGAGGGCAGCACAGCATATCAATTGAAGTCAATTGTAGTCCTTCCATTAGAAATTAGACCAATTTGACAACCTTGTAAGTGTAACATGACATTTGTAAAGCTTTAAATTTGGCAGTGCGATTCACTTGCCACTTTGTTAGTTTCGGAAATATGGGAAATATGTTGATTGGAGTATGGAATTGCACAGAATCTAAATTGCGGCAACAGTAATGTAATGAAGCAACGTGCTCTGTGCTCTCGCTATGATCTTGCTCGTCAAATTGCTCCCGCCTCCCTTGGTCAATGGCGGTGAGTTGTTTGACCAAAGCCTCACCTTGCGACGATCGGCTCCGTTCGCGTAGCTGAAAAAGCCGAAATACTGATCCGGCTGATTTGTCATGGAGAAAAAATATTGTTGCTAGTAAAAGACGGATTATAAGACAATTTTAACAACGGCGATGGCTCTCTCCACGAGTAAAAAACGGTTTTTTTTTTTTTTGTCGATGCTAAGAATATTTTCCACGGGTGGTTCATAAGGAACAAGTTGCCCGTAGAAATACAACTGAGGGCCTGTGTACAGTGCCCTTGTGTCCTGCCTGACCAGCAGCAGCAGCCACAGCTTGAGTGATGACTCAGCTAGCTAGCTCTGAGATACCCGTGGCCGTTGGTGAGGCCGCAGTTCAAACTTGCACAGTTCACTCCGCCCGCTGCCCCACCCCGTCCCCAGCGGCGAGCGCGGAACGCCCGACCGCGCCGCGTCTTCCCTTCCCCGCGACCGAGAATCCGCGACGGCGCGACCGCCTCAGCCTCCGCGCGACCGTCTGCTGCCTCCGGCCTCCACCGCCTGCGACTGGGGGCTGGGGCTCCTTCCTGCGCGGCTGCGCGGCTGCGCAGCTCAGGGGGGGTGGTTCCTGTCCGTGTTCTCGCGTTGGGGAAAAGGCGACAGGACAGCGCGTGGGTGGGATTCCGCGTTCCGCCGCGACCGCTCTCTCCAGTCCAAGATGGCGGCGTCGGCGGAGTCGGAGCTCACCACCATCGACTCCCTCCCGGTTGAGATGCTCACCGAGGTCCTGCTCCGCGTCCCGACGCCTGCCGCCCTCGTCCACGCCGCGGCCGCTTCGAGGAGCTGGCGCGGCGCCATCGCCAACGACGACTTCCTCGCCCGCTACCGCAAGCGCCACAAGTACTCGCCCTTCCTGGGCCTCTACGTCCCGCGCTAGCTCGCCGGCCCCCCCTCGTTCCAGACGCCGAATTCGATCCGCTTCGCTGCCGACGACGACCGCGACCTCAAGGATGCCGCACTCAGGGCCTGCGACTTCGGCGAGATCCGCAGGTATCAGGATCATCGCCTCCATGACGCCGATGCCTTCATTCTCGGCCGTCTCCCGGTCCATCCGGATTGCCGCCTCCTCGACTGCCACAACAGCCGCCTCCTGCTCACTAGAGGCGACGAGGCCCTGGAGGTGCGCAGCCCGTTGGCCCGCGAGACCATCCTGCTACCCTTTCCGCCTCATGTCGTCCACCCGGATCGTTTGGAAGCGTGCTTGCTGCAAGGCCATGGCCATGACGAAGCGGCGGCGTTCCGAGTGGTCTACTTGCAGCACCGTCGCCAGGGCTGCAACCGGCAGGCTCGCGCTGTCGAGTACGAATCCAGGAGGACGAGCTGGCAGGATCACCCCTGGGAGACTCTACAAAGCAACATTATTGAGGGGACGCCAGAAGAGGTGATGCACGCCGGACACCGGATATTTTGCAAATACACGGGTCTGACGTCGGCAGCACTCTTGCTGGACACAAGCAACATGCAGTTCTCCGTTCGTCCCCTTCCAAGTCACCAAAACTTCGCTATAGGGGACATAGAGTGTGGCAGCTGGACGAGGAGAAGTTGGACTGGGACCTTAAGAAGGATATCAAAATGGATCAGGTGCTTGGTGAGCATGTTGGGTACTATCGCCCCTGCGCGATTCGCAATGGGATGGCTCTTGTGTGCTCGAGAACCAGGCATCATTTTGTTGTGGACCTCAACACCTGCAGCGTGAAGGGGAAGTTAGTTCTATGGCCAGTCTGCTTACCTTATGCAAATGCCATGGCCACCTGCCTTTTCCAGTCCTACAACTAATGTTGAGAAATCGTCCATACCCGTCCATACCTTCGATATCGATAGGTGCTCTACTAAAAATAAGTATTTGTCTTGATGCTCATAATGTCTTTTTTTTTTGCGATTATTGATGCTCATAATATCAATGTTGTATATGAAGCACAAAATCATGTCTATGCAGCGATGAATCCTGGAAGTAGCGACGACGGAAACAATGAAAATCAACATGAAATAAGAGATGGGGCGGCTCCACTCAACTGTATGCTATCAAATGAACCACAATATTTGGATACACCAGCCGCAGCAGAACAGTGCTTTGCAAAGGTCAAAAACTATGTTCCAAATGACTACTTGGTATAAATCTTTTACCTCATCTACTGGAATCTCCAGTATAATGATTCTGACTAGTTGCTTTCCTTTTTCGCAGCAGATTCCTGATCTGTGTGATCAATTCTCAGATTTGATGCACCCTGAAGGTAAATGTCCATGTATTTCATGAGTGTGATTGTTGTTCAAGATAAGTTATATATGTACACATTTGTACATATTATAGCAACACCACCTTATCATGCATAGTGACAGAGGTGTCTGTAGGAAGTATTGTGTTTTACTGCTATTGCCTTTGATTTTGTTAGGGTATTGAGATTTGGCTGGCTCAATGGTTAAAGGGGTATTTTTCATATTGACTGATTGTGTTACCTACATGTGCTGATTTCCTCTTTGTGACAATTTTAATGCAAGTTACTTTCAAGTGGACATGAAGACTGAAAATTTAACCTGTCATGCCCCCGACCATATTATGCATGTGCCTACATGTACAAGGGACAAATTGTTCTTAGTTTTTTTTATGTGTTTGCATGTTCAGTTAGGATGGCTTTTGAAGAGCAGAATGCAGACAAATCTCGCTTTGAAGTCAGTGGTGCCAACAAGGCTAATCAAGCTCTGCATGATGATGGCAGCATTGATGTAAATGTGGTGTTCCCAGATGTGGATCAGTGCAAGTCTGCAGTTACGTATCATGCTATCCTGCATGACCATGCTCTAATAAGGGTTGTAAGTGGACTTTTTCGCATCCACAAGCAAGAAGTACATTGGATGCAAGGTAATTTGGTCCTCTTTCCATAATGTAGTGTATTGACTTGAGATGTAATTTGCTAACAAGATTTTGGATTGTCGTGATTGTGTTGTAGGTTAAGACAAGTGGACCAAAGCACACGTGTGGTTCTTTCAACAAGTGTGGTGAGTCCGTGAAAGCAAACATATGGGTTTGTGATAGAGTTGTGGACTTATTGTGGGATGACCCTCAAATGGATCCAAAGGAATTGCAAGATGAGTTAAAAAAGAAGTACTTAGTGGATGTTCCATATCATAGACTTTTTAGAGGAAAGATGAGAGTACTTGATATCATATATGGGAAGTGGGAAGATTGGTATGACTCTGGCAAGCGATCATCACCCACTCGGCGTGTCTTTTGTTCTTGCTCAAATAGTTTACATTATTCTGTTGGCTCATTATCATGGATAAGATGGCAGTGATCAGTTTTGACACTATTTGAACTTTTAAGGTCTTAGGCCTTTTGAGAGAACAGAGAACATTAACTATGCCATGACTCATGACAATGATTTTATGCAAAGCTGATCTCATTTTAAGGTCTTAGGCCTTTTGCCATGCATTGTTTTTCAAATTCAGATGAGAGATTTTCACATACACATGGTTAGTTCTATGATATATCAAATTATATCAGACTTAATTGCAATATGACAACATAGGTACTTAGCATTGGTATTTGGTTATGATTATGCAATGTTGAACGCGCACCGATGGTATTGCCCTGTGTTATGTGCCGTGATAAAATGTTCTGCGCATATAAAAAAGGAGACCAGAGCATAAAAAGTTGAGCCAACTTTCTTTTAGAGTAGTACAGGTCTTGACTTCTTCAAATATTCACATTTTCCATCTATTATAGGAAATTTCATTTCTGAAAACGTTTCCAAGAACTGAACACATGTCTTGCAGCTCCAATCCTGTTGCACCAACTGAAAGACGCAAAAGACTTGCTTGGACAAAAGAAGAAGAAGCTGTTTTGAGGGTAATCATTCTTTGGATGTAAATTTTCATTGTTGAAACACCAACTTTGCCGCTGGCTTTTCCCAGGCCAAGTTAGTAGTATGTAATTGTGTCTCGCTTGGCCATGTGTATTTATACATTTTACTGTGATGATCCTAGAAGCAAAGGCAAAATTCGCTCCACAGAATGGTGCGTCAATTCCATGGATTCAGATATTACAATATGGCCATCATGTGTTTCACAAGACGCGCCTGCCATCTGATTTGAGGGTCAAGTGGAGGAACCTGATGAAGAAGGAGCCGGCAGGCTATTGATGCTGGCAATGTTACATATATGTAGCCGTTGCCTTTATCTCTTTTGAGTCCACATGGAACACTGATGTGGTACTACGCCCTGTTCGCTTGGGCTTGTTTGGCTAATAAACCATGGCTGAAAGTACTGTTAACTGATTTGGTGTGAGAGAAAAATATTGTTCGTTGGCTGAAAAGGTACGACTTATAAGCCAAACAAGTCCAAACGAACTGGGTGGTAGTAGATAGCGAATGTGCTAAATCCTCGCTGCAAGTAGGAATGGAGGGTTTCCTCACTAGGATGTTGATGCTTGGTAAGGGCCATATATGTAGCAAGTATGAAGCATCTATCAAATTTCTGTGTATCTTTTGGCCGTGGTATCGCGATAATTATCACAGACTATAATATCTTAGTATTGCAGTTGCAGTTATGAGAATATGTACGTAAACATGATTGTGAGAAGGGCTAGTTGGTTTGGAGAGAAGCTGACAGGTTCTGGCCTTCTGGGTGTGAATTAGGCAGGTTCTGGCCTTCTGGGCGTGAATTAGGTCTAGATTAGTTTCCAAAAATTTTCACCCTAAATTATCACAT